GGATTCCTCAAGGATTTTTACTTTCTGGTGATAATTCTTCTTTACATATAAAAACACAATATAATTCAGGTGTACCATAAATGCATGAAAATAATTACATTCATTTACATTTTTGTTTTTTATTACTGTAAAAACACAAACCAACATTTGCATTAGCTTCCTGCACTCTCCTCCACAGCATGACTCAGACTGGGAAAGGGAGGTGCAGCCCTGTAAATCAGAATATTACAGTGGTGTCAGTCTAATACTGAGACTTTACTGACATAATAGAGCAGAGTGATGACACAATCAGTGTAGTAATGTCCATTCATTGTTCATTGAGCAGGCAGGGCAGTGGACAAGCTGTATTACTGCACTGCAGAAAAGGGTGTGTGGATGTGTGTGTGGATGTGTGTGTGGATGTGTGTGTGTGTGTGTGTGTTGGTAGAGACGTGCTCAGTTTAGGATTTAGAAACATTTGATTAGCTGGAATAAATAGACATAGACTCTGCCCATTTTCTCGCTGTATTTACAATATTGACTCAAGTTGCTGTAATCCTGATGAGTGGCACTGAAATCTCGAACTACCAGCAAGACCATTACGTTATGTTCTTTAATAGGTATTTTATAAAGCTTATAATGAGTCCATATTAGGGGACATTTTGCTAACATATGGCCTCTGTGTGCTTTAATGTTATTTTCTTAGCTGCTGTTGTGGAACGGTGCAAGTCATATGGCATAGAAATTACATGCACAATTCGAATAAACATCTGGACCTGTCATGTGCACTGATGCATTGATAATCCAGCTGCCTTTCTAAATTAAAACTGCAGGCAAAATACAGTATTCGGTAATAACTATGTCACAGGAATAGCTGCTTATCCATGTTTTTATTTCGTTTTCTTGAAAAGTGTATCTTCAGTGTATGTAACCCTCTATTTGTTCAGGTGACCATTGTCTTCAAAAATCAAACATTTTAAGCTGTAATTGTATTAGGAAAGAGGGGACACTGTCTAAGAGAGGTATTTCCCAACGTGTCTTCACTCACTTTCCTTCTCTCATTCACTCACGTGGTGTCTACAGGACAGGAAAAGAAGGGTAATCTTCCAAATGAGACACAAAAGACAAAAAAATAACAATTTACAGGGGTTCTATTTATTCTCTACTCCAGGGGTAGGCAACCTCGGCACTGCATCTGTTACGGTACTATAATTCCCATGAAGCATTACAAGACTCCGACAGCCACAGGCATTACTCCTAGAGGCAGATGCATGATGGGATCTGTAGTTTTATCACAGCTGGAGTGCCAAGGTTGCCTACCCTTGTCCTACTCTATCTAGAACTAGAAAAAAAAAGTTTGGTTTGGAGTTATACTTTAAAAGCCTAACAATTTTTATTTAGAATTCTACCTGATAGAATGAATTTTGAAGGCCTACTGTCTTGGTTTGTGTGTGTATATTCTTGATCACAGTTGGCACGAATAAATGGGGGATTTTGCTGAAAGCACACCTTCTCAAATACAGTGGTGGTAGTTGATATTTGTATGTGGAAACTGCAAATGCTGAAGCCATTCTCTTTTTTTAAACTTGGACATTTTCCTGCCTCGGAGACAACACAAGATCTATGCTATTAACCAAAAAAAAAAGCTTCGTTTCTGACCCTTTCTGATTTACTTTCACTTTGTTACTGGGACTAAATCTCCCAATTGCCATTTTATTCTTGTACCAATATATTCGTATTTTTAATAGTTATAGTTGTCCTTTTGCTACCAATCTTTTCATCTTTTACACGTGATAAAAAGAGAATAATTATAATCCCCAAACATTATAGATATTCTGAAAGCAGAAAATCTGTAGAATAAAAAGATAGTAGTTGTAGTAGTTGTAGTAGTTGTATATATTTTTTTCACAATAAATCAAGCCTATATTTTAAATAAAAAATACACTAAACCTAATTTCAGTTCACACAACACACAAAATAATCATTCATTTTTGGTAAAATATAAAAGATGCCATTGTGTCTAGTAAATAGATGCCAAATATGTCCGCCTTAAAAATGACATGCATCAGTAAAACGGCAACAGGCGCCTTATTTGACAGGTATGCTGTGGCCATTATAACTCCCTTAAACAGTTGCCATTTCATTAGTATTCAATTAAAAATTCCACACAGAATCTTCATATTTATAGCAGGTTAATTAATAGCTGACCTAAAAGCATCATCTTATTATAACTTTATTGCCTTATATTTCCAAATTAAAATATTCAATATAGGACAGTGGTAATGAGAACAAAATCCTCATTAAAGGTTTGACAAACGTTTTTAGTTTATTGTCGGCGGAAGCTGCGGTTGTGTGAAACATCATACACGTCAGTTAACCATTTGAAGACCAGGGTGTTGCACCCCCTTCCTGGCCAGGCCATTTTTCAGTATTCAGCGCTGCGGTACTTTGACTGACATTTATTCCGTCATGCAACGCTGTACTGAACTGAATTTTATACCATATTTGGTGACAGACAGAGCTTTCTTCTGGTGGTATTTAACCACCACTGGGGGTTTTATTTTTTACTATATAACAAAAAAGTACCCTAAATTTTGAAAAAAAAAACCCTGTATCACTATGAAATGTTATGAAACATCTGTTATCACCCCAGTTTTTTGGTAACATATAAAAGACAGGGTCACGTTGGGTAAATAAACACCAAACATGTCAAGCCTTATTTTCCGCGATATTGGGAAAAGTGTTTTCACTATTTTTTCCGCACAGCAGCTTATTATACATTCACATAGCGCAGTGGTTTTAGTATTACATTTAAAAAAAGGAGCTGCCTATTTAACAGCAAAGTTAAAGCACTCGAACAGAAAAGAAAGTACAAAGATCTAAAAGTCATAATGAAAAGGACAATCTGGCCATAATAAAACTGTTGCTGCGTCCTCTCTCTCTGTAAGAGTGTGGTTTCTCTTGTGTGGTCGCTGCAGTCCATGGTTGGCATCTGCTAGTCTTGTGACACCCAGAACCGGGGCATACATTGTGCTATTTTCAGTGATACCACTAAGGGCCCATTCACACCAGTTAATCGCACGGTTCTGTGAGATTAACGCACGCCACTGTGCAACACACTTACCATGCATTACAGTGGAGGCGGTCCGTTGCCATTTATTTGAATGGCATCCCAAACACATGTACTACTTTTTACCAGCCGCAACGCTATGCACAGTATTGAGGTACCAGGCGTTGCGGTGTGCTTCAGAGCATTTCAAACAACCCATGTGTGCGCAAGCTCTAATTTTGTTGGGAATTGTAGTTCTTACATTTGCATCAATATCACTGACTGCTGACATATTCCACAGGAACATGATCCCTCCTTTAACCAGGACACCTCCCAGGGAGCAGAAGTCCTAGATCCAAGTTCAGGTGTTCAGCAACATTTTACAAACATGTCAGCTCATTCTAGGAGGTTTCCTGTAAAATATGTTGTGCCTAATTTAATAAAGGAAATGTACATGGGCAGGGCTTAGCAAATGGAACCCCTGGACCTATCTAGCAATGAATGCACTCATTTTCAATACATACAGTGCATGCCTAGTATGCAGTACATGTTGAACATATTGAAATGATGCGAAAAGGTATGAATGTGCCAATATTTTACTTGGGAGAAAAAAAAACCTAATGTGACTGGCTTGCTAAGGGATGAAATGCGCAAACACCAAGTAAAGAAAAAACAATTTTGGTGCTGTTGGTGTAGAAATGAGTGTGTGTGTGTGTGTGTGTGTGTGTTATATTGCCAAACGTATTGGGACGCCCCTCCAAATCATTGGATTCAGGTGTTCCAATCAGTGGCGTCACAAGGGGGTGCGGCCTGCACCCGGGTGACACCATTGGAGGGGGGGCACCAAAAAAAATTAGGCATTTTTGTGGCCCCCC